CTGATTTTTAAGCAACTGATACTTGTAATCAGTACCAACTTATAGTGAACGTGCAAATTTAGTCCCTAAGGGTACAGTTGAAGGGTTCAGATTTTCAAAAGTTTTCAGTACATTGCTTCTGATGTGCTTCTCCAGGCCTACCCAAACCAGCCATAGTAACACATGCCAAGACTCTAAGGGGCGCCCTGGTGATGTGGATGTTTGACATCAGTAGAGACGACATAGTGTACGAACCTCTACCGATGTACCACTCGGCGGGTCTTATCGTGGGCATCGGCTCGGTGTTATCTAAAGGTATGTAACTAAACTGTAGAATGGGAAGACGCCGATGTTCCTTGTACCACTTACATGCATCACATACAATATTTATCTATCTTTAGTATCACAAACTTGTAGAAACAGAAAACATGCTATTAAACGTTAACATTTATATAAAGATTTATTCACATAGGTATATCCTTCTAAAGTTATCTTCGTGTGTTCATAGGACAAGCCATAAGGACAATAGTGCTTCATGCTTTCTGTGTGTTTGCTGTGTTGTTCTACAGGTGCGACAGTTGTACTGAGAGAGAAGTTCTCAGCAACGCGTTTCTGGGATGATTGCCGAAAACACAACGTGACCATCATCCATTATGTAGGGGAACTATTGCGCTACCTGGTGAACACACCAGAGGTAAGTAATTTACTTCAGAATAAGTCTAATAACGACAACTTCCGCATATTTACTCAAGTGCTAGGTTTATATGTATCTGATCAGTAAATAATTAGTACTCAAGTCCCCTCGTTTTTTGTTGTTTCTTTTTTTTTCTCTCTCTCTCTTAGTCTTACTTTCCCTTCTATACCTCTAGGACCTGCTCTAACCTCTTTTCTATCACTTCTAAACAATGCTTTTATATAACGGACACAATTTAGATGGAATTTAATTATACATAAACATAATTAATTATTAATTATACCTGGAAATATGCAGTTTTATTATAAATGAATATTTAATGAATGAATTGTAATGTGCGAGAGGAATAATGTTTATGTATGATATATTTGCATTGTTATAAATTTGGAAAAAATAAAAAATTACAAAAAAAACAACAAAAAAACTTAGCCATATGAACAGTTATGTATATATGTATCATACATAAGACCTATAATTGAAGTTCACAAAACTTGAAAAGTATATTAGAGTAAGTCCAACTAGATACTTCAAGAATATTTACAGGACTTCGTAGAAGCAACCCCACAATGCATAATACAACGTATTAGACTTGATATCTCTTTACAGTACAAGAAAACAACGTTAATTATTATTGATGTACAAGATTTTAAACAATGAAACGCCATATTACCTGAAAGAAAACATTGCGTCGCATCTTTATGATTTGACGCTCCCTAGGTATCAGTTAGAATATTTGCTCCTTCTCTATGTCGAACAGGAAACACTTTTGATAACTTTTTCCATCCATGTTTAATGAAATTAATTATAATGCTTCAGATCTCCCAAATATTCGTTGTGTCTACATGTATCAGTTCAAAAAACGTAAAAAACCTATTCCAATTTCGAACCCAAGAACTGTCCTTAATCGCCGCGTTTGTGCCAGGACATTCTGACGATATTCTTGCGATATCGCTAGAAACCTAATTTGCATACGCAATCTGAACACGCGGCGATTTGCAGCAATAGTGTTCCAGAGACTCAATATTTCTGTAAGAAAGTTGTTTCCCATATTTTATGTTATCCTTTATTTGATAATATCAACTTGTTTATATGTGTATTTGTGTGTTTTAATGTCCTGTGTATATGTTTGTACAACTGTTTGTTACTGTTGGAGAGGGCTTAAGTAGGGTTTGCCTGTTGCTCAATTCATTTGTCTTTTGACAATAAAATTATTTGATATTGAAAAAGTAAAAATCCAAACTGTTCTTACACGGTCTGAAACAAACTTGAAAACATGGGTGCATAAGTGTCCTTATATTTTTGTTAAATGTCCACACATGCTTGTCAAATATGTTACGAAAATTGTTTTTCTTAGTTCAAAAATGACTTATTGCCGATGTTTATGTGTAATAGTATGTGGTAAAATGTGTCATATATGTCTCGTTTTTACTATTTATAGGAGCGGAAGATATTGTAAGATGTTTCTACTGTGATATCGGACTTGCGGAATGGAATCCAGATGATGATCCCTGGGTAGAACACGCCCGTCATAGTCCGGAATGCCCATATCTCAGGGACCAGAAGGGTCAAGATTACATCAATAACATTCAGGCGCAGTGGGCACGGGTAAGCTATATTTTAAATGAATGGATCGGAATGAAAATTACAGCAACCGCCGAAAACAATTACGTTGTACGACACTTTTACCCTACTTAAATTTGATGAGCAAAACGTTATATGCATGTTATTTACTATTGAAGATATACACACCAAAACATCCACAATATGCACAAATGGATACGAGAAGAAGATCATATCAAAATGCGGGTTGGCCACGTGACAATGTACTGCAGACTCCAGAACAGCTCGCAGCCTCAGGTTTCTTTTACACCGGTGAGTTGGTATGCAAGCTCAAACATGAAATTGTATACTATATTGACGAAATTTGTTTGTACCCTACAGTACACCTAAGCCTGGCACTACATTTTCCAGTTTCTGTCCGCAGCACGCTAGTTGCTTTGTTATATTTAACCAGTGTCTATTTATAAATATAATTGTACTATTAAACCGAGTAGTGATTAGTTTCAGGATCCTCACTTTATATCTAGGTATGAAGAAATATTGTATATTATTGTATATGCTTAGTTCTTTTGTTTTTCAGGCCTAATCTAGGAAGCGAAATATGTTGATTAGTGAGCAAAATTATTTTGATTTATCAGCAAAACTATTTTGACTTAGGTGATGGAGACACTGTTCGGTGTCACTACTGTGATGGAGGCCTGCGTGAGTGGGAACCTGAAGATGACCCATGGGTAGAACATGCACGTTGGTTTCCATTTTGTAAGTTTGTGTTGAAGATAAAGGGCATAGATTTCATCCAAGCTTCTGCTACTGGAAACGTGAGTAAAAATCAACCAGCAGTTTGAAATTGTTTGCGTAAATGGTAATAATTTTTCCCAGCCATTTTTCCGCACCCTATTCTCTGTCTAGTTTTGTACTTTATAATTGACTAATGCATCATGTCGTGGTTGCTTATTTTTTAACATTATGTAAGTGAAACAAACCTTTCCTGCTTTACATTAATCAGGACTGATTTATGACTGATATTTACAAAGGTTCATGTAGTACAGCCAGCAAAGTGTCTTATGTTTGACGTCAGACCTATACACTTAACTGGCTGTGCTACCTTAAACTTTCTTACAATCCGAAAAGGTCTGGTCATATGAATGATATGTTTGTCTCATGTTATTCCGAAGTGACCTGGTACTACATGTTTCGACTGTTTCGCAACTTATTTCTTTACGTGGGAAATATGATGGCTTTTACAGGTTGAATTGTTCATGAGTGTGATGAAGATATTAAAGAAACACATATTCAATTACACGTTTAGAAAAGTATGAAGTTTATTTTTATTTTGTTTTTCCAAAAGCCTGCAAACGGGTTACAGGCGCCCGTCGCTCCACCTGCTGCACCACGGATCAACGAACGTGAGTATAATGATATAATGTAGTTCACGCTAACAAACATCCTATATCTAACACAGGTAGGTAAAGCCGGTTTAAAAACCTTGTGCTATAGTAAAATAGGAAAAAGTGAATATTATGTTATCTTTTATCACTAATTTACCCTGCTGGATTTGCATGCTTGGTGTGTGGATATTTTGATTTCAATAACTTAGTATTTGTACTGATAAGTTGATTGGCAATATTTGAGCTTACATCACCACTGTATAACAGTAAATAATCGTAGAGCTCGGTGTGCATCTTTTGACATTGAAATCAATGTCGGTACAAGTTCCGATGGCGTATTAACTTTTTTAACTCTTTTCTTATTTAAACTTTTTATTTATTACAAAATCATTGATAGGTAAGTTGCATATATAAACAATGTAATTGCATGGTACTTTGAAACTGCTACTATTTAAAGCAGTATATTGTAATGAAATCAAATTGAAAACCAGAATAATGATTTTTCGTATCTTTAAAAGAACATCTCATTTTGTTCAATTGTCTTAACATGAATTGTCTTTAGATGTTTCGGTTATAACACCCGTTTGTATCGACACAATAGAAATGTTAAAAAAATATTAACATATAGAAATTTTTACATAATAACAACTGAGTCGGTGATTATTCGTATCTTGGTACATGAACAGTTGTATAATATATTCAAGAATGTATTTCATATTAGCAGTCCTATCCCAGATAAGTACTATAAACAAGCTAACACCACTAATTTGCTGTATGGTTTGTTTCTTTAAGTCAATTGTTCAATATAAATGTTAATGGATTTATTTTTATTTTATTGTTGCAGCTCCTCTGACACTAAGCTTCGTTGATAAATGCAGGATAAAGGAGCAAAAAAATCCGATGCATTCAGCTGCAGCTCAGAGCATGAGAACCATGGGCTACTCTAGGGGAACGATACGGATGGTTATCGACAAGTTCTTAGTTCTTACTGGTATGGCTTTCAAATACACTTGATTAAAGTATGAATTGTCATGTACCTTTTGCTGGTGCTTGCTACGAATGTGATAACGCAGAATATATTTCCGTTAGTAATTGTAACACAGCAGTCGTAGATATGTAATATTCATTGTTCCTTCATAGATGTTAATCAACAGTCTCATTACAAGTACATGTGCAGGTGGTAACAGCATCTCATCTGCGTACAAGACTATTAAACCGTTACTTCAGCATTGTGTCCCAAACTTCCAGCTAAGTAACGTAAGCGTGTATCCAAACCATGCCTACACTCCCCCGGATCCAAGGCTAGGAGTCCTATTTGTATATATTCCAGCTTATAAAGATAGTCAATAATACAACCATAAACATCAGATATTAGCTGCATCTATCTGTAGGCCAATTAAACCCGTACACGTGCATATGTGACATTTATCGGTATAGTCTGTCAATATTCCCTGGGTTAGATGACATATATATTTTTGTAGGTATGGGACAATTAATATTATAATGACATCTCTCTACGCCTCCGAAGCAATCAACCCAAATAATAAATCTATAAGTTACACAACACTTTTGTTATATTCCCTTTCTGGTAAACTCACCGTGTTACATTTGTTCCTTTAATCAAAATGTCAAAATAATTTTAATTAGACTACATTAAATGGTATTCAATTTGTATACCAACATGTTTTGTTTAAGTGGTATGCTTACTGTGTAGCATAATATCATCAGTTGAATTTCGTTTTCATCCTAATAATCAAACCAATGATCTTGGTGCTTTTACAATACATTGCTTTGCATTTCGAATTATGAATAAAAATTGATAGAAACTGTAAGCGAAAACTACTAAGCAAACTACTGGATAAGTCATAAAAGGACGAAACAGCTGAACAGTGCAATGCAGTTCATTTATTGTAATGTATACTTGCAATCACGTGTGTTAATCGTCCAGCATTCAGTGAGCGAAAATATAGTATTGCTGATTTCTGTCGCAGGTATATACATTGTAGTACATATTACAGACGTGATCCTGTAAATAACCTTGGACATGAGATTTAATGCCATAACAACTAGTCCTATACATTTAATTTTGTCCTTTCTAAATGTTAGAATATCATTAGGGTTTATTTAAACTTTGCCTTTACTCCAGATGTACATGACGTTATTGTTATTTTGTTGTTGCAGTTCCTCTAACACTAAGCTTCGTTGATAAATGCAGTAGCAAGGGGAAATAAATAAAAAAAAAAAAGATGCGGCCAATGCCGATTATATAGTATTGACATGCGTTCCAATCTGGTTCTCCTCGATCACACAATTTTAAGAATAGCAAATTGAATGTTTCTTAACGCTTCATTTACTTTAATGTCTGTTACTCCTTATTGAATTTAAACTCAAATTTTACAGAATCAATAATGCCAAATTAAGTGGGAATGAACTTCGTATTCCGGAACAATTTTCTTTAAAAAACGATTTTGAATAATGAATGACATTGACTAATCAACATGTATCCAGGGCACCCTTGATTAATGCTACATTTCAATTAAGCACACTCGCGTTGAGGTCGTTGTAATAAAATGAGTATTGTATACTTAGTTTGGCTAGATAAATGCTTAATAATACTGTGTTTTCCAAAGTAACATCACGCAAAGGATGAACGTTAAATTTCTTTTTGGTGAAATGTCGATTATAAAATTGAATATGATCGAACTATATCATGCTTTGTTTATAGGGAGACGAGACTTTAAGGCTGTTGATTTGATGGACATTATCATGGCGGAGGAAGAGGCAGGAAGGACATTTCCCGAGAGTGACGGGGAGGATGATGGTGAAGAAACTGGTGCAACTGCCGGTAAGTGTTAAAAAAAGAATACTTCCAAGTTTCCTTGCACACTTATTGTTACCTCTATGTTTACGTTGGACATTTCATTTGCGTAGTATATTTGACCTAGTAAGTGTCCTTACTGCCTGTAATGTTGGAATATTGAAATTATTTCTGAACCTTTCAAAGCTCTAAGAAGATACATTTGTAGCAAACTTTTTAGTTTTAATTTAGTCGGTCAGTTATGTTCATAATTTTAACACTTGGACCAGAAAGAGTATAGGGTGCTCTTAAAAAGAAAACGAAGCTCATAAGAACAATTCCTGTACATAATTTAAGATGTGGTTCTGTTGTCATTAAGAGAACATTTGGAATAATATAGTGCTATCAAATAAACAGGCTACTGGTTCTGATGTCATTAAGAGAACATTTGGAATGATATAGTGCTATCAAATAAACAGGCTACTGGTTCTGATGTCATTAAGAGAACATTTGGAATGATATAGTGCTATCAAATAAACAGGCTACTGGTTCTGTTGTCATTAAGAGAACATTTGGAATGATATAGTGCTATCAAATAAACAGGCTACTGGTTCTGTTGTCATTAAGAGAACATTTGGAATGATATAGTGCTATCAAATAAACAGGTTACTATGTGTTACGTGTAATAGCGCGTGACATAACTATCTAAGAATTCCTGTTCCAATAGTGGATTTTCGTTTATACAATAACTTCCCCATAATATTATTTTAGACATAACAGTAGCACAGTTTGTTTAGGACACCTCCATTGACCAATCTGAAAACCCACGTTTCGAATCGCGGTCTTACCGGGTGTTTTTTTACACTCGGAACACTGTTGTTGATTATATTTTGTTTATTCATCTTTATTATCAATTTTTCATAAAAGCTTGCAAGGTTTTGTTTTGTTTTCAGAAATGATTTATCAAAGCTATAGTCATGCTGGAAACACCAGTTTCAGCTTTTTTTGGTGTTGGTACGGGGATCCTTAAATTCTCGATGCAAATAAAGGGAAACAGTTAAGGTTTATAAAAAAACTATTTTGTAGCGAACCAGCAGTCAGATGGTTTATTATGTAGCACCTCTAGTGAATGTAATACAATGATTCGGAAGGACAACAAAATATGTGTATGAACGTTGCTACTAGGGGGCACTTAAAATACATTGTTCAGTACTTTAATGTGTAAACACGTAAAAATGTTTTCTGAAGAATCAGAGAGCGTAGAGCCATGATTTTGGTCATTAGCTTCCTGGTATATGATGCTTCAAAGTGTGCGAAAATAAATGACCTTGAAGTAACTTTATTCAAAGTCACAGTGGTCAAATATGTTAAAACACACAAAGAGATTTTTTTCTTCAAAAACACGAATAGTTCAAGATTCATTATTTATCGCCAGCAGCTTTGCTGGATTTAAGTGCTACAAACGATAACTAAAAGAAATGAACGTGACCGATTTTCAAGGTCACAGAGATCCATTCTGTTTAAATTACCCACACTGCTTCTTCTTCTGAAAACGATGAATTTCTTCATTCGTGATACAAATAGCTAGTAGATTGCTGGCATTGACTGCTACAATATTTAAGACAAGAAATGACCTAAAAAAATATTTGAGAGAGAACAATAATCACATTGAGCTATATTCAAGGTTGCAGGGTCACAACTTTTAAAACCATCAAACAGCTTCTTCTAAAGTACCAAAAGACATGCAGTTATGATATGTGGCTTGAAACCTGCTGACATGGAGTGCTACAGATATTGGGAAAAAGAAATTATCTGGACTTATATTCAAGGTCGTATGGGTCAAGAATGTTTGAGATTCATACAGTTTATTCTAAAAGACATAGAGCCATGATACGTAACCAGTACCTTGCTGTTATTCAGTACTACAGATTGTCTTCCAAAAAATGACTTTGATGTATATTTACGATCACAGGCATCACATCTGTAAACAAAATTCTTTTAAACAATAAAGATACCTATATTCGTGATATATAGCATGTAGATTACTAGCATGAAGCTTTCGACATCTATAGAACTGTCTATAGAGTCAAGTATTTAGATAGAATCTTACTGAAATACGTGAAAGGTAAAGCCACTTAAAACAGATCTGCGTCTTTTTGCCTCTTGGGCTTCTTGTCATATGCAATTGAAAGACCGCACCGGAAAGTTCCGACTTAAATGAATATTAAATGTACTTTCTTTCAACATTTCGAACACAGCAACCAGTGTATCAGGCACAGTGAAACGGGAAAACTGTATGACTGATATTCAATAGTTTGAACTAGTTTGAACCTATTCATTATTTTAACTCATTATTATAGAAAATGGTCATTAATATGATAACCATTTAAGAGCAAAACATCAAGTCAATCATCTAAATGTAAGAAAAGAACAATGGAAATGTATTTTTGTTAAAAAGAAATCGAATAAATTTTGATAATAAACATTATAAAAGTTTTCATCTTTATTTACAGGCGGGGCCGCTGCTGGAGGCATAAACGCAATTGACCTTGATGAAGAAATGGATTTTTGTAAGTATAAAGATTGTCTCTGTGTTCAACACTTTTTCTTATTCAAAACAGTTGTTGGTAAAAATACTTTGGTATATTAATACCCCTGGCTGCGATGAAGCTGGGAGGAAGGAAGGGGTTTGGTTATGCTGGAATCAGAGTTTATCGACATGTCCGTCTTTATGTAACACATCTCCCCGCACTATGTCTCTTACAATTTTCAGTCAAATGACATGAAAGTCCTCTGCTGTTATCAACACACTCTGAAGTTGTACACCTGTTATTGATAGTTTAATCCGGCCATCTTTATACCGTTTTTACGATAGTTAGCCAAATATTTGCTAGGGCTTAACCTCTATACTAATTACCAAGGAGGAACGAGATATAGTATGACGGAGTTTCAGGTACACACATAGTTCCCTGTGGTCTATGGTTTGACCTTTGGGATGAAGGGATGTCAAGTAGCAGGTAGATTACTGTGATATATGGTTTGATCTTTAACATAAACCGTTGCAAAAGTTTGTCCGGGTCATAGCTTCCATACTGTTTTATCTAGTGCAACCAGATTTAGTATGCAAGTATATCTTGAGATGATGGAGTGTCATTGTGGTCTAGGCTTTAAACTGTGTCCTTATCCTTTTGAAAAGTATGTATGGGGTATATCATCTGTGATGATTCAACTGGTGCAACCAGATTATGTATGCAAGTACATGTTCGGTAGCGGAGTGTCAAGTACAAACGTAGGTCACCATGGCCTAAAGTTTGACCTTTGACTTCAACTTGTCCAGGGCATATCTTCTACACTCCTTCACTTGGTGTAACCAGATTTGGTATGCAAGTACATCTTGGGATGGCGAAGTGTCAGGTAAAATGTAGGTCTTTGTTACCTATGCATTGTTCTTTAACCTCAACACTTTGAAATAATTTGTCTGTATGTTGTGTCTGGCGGAGTTCATGATGATCCTTAGAAAGTAATACAGCTTGGTAACTAAATAAATTATTACCAGTGGGTGGCTATGAAATATCTTGCTATGCTTGGTCTTGTAGATTCCTACTGCTCTTGACGCAGGTGGGAGTTTAAGTCTGACATTCTGGCGACAGATCTTGTTTGAGCTTGAATCATGAAATTTGTGTTTCTTCGTTGCACCTAAATGGTATTCGGTATATTTAACCTGTGTGTGTCCTCCAAATAAGTATGTTTTACCCACTTTACTTTCCGACAAAAAATAATAATTATTATCTCTTCTACGTGTTATTGCTTGTAATACGTTGAATACTGAAGGCATTGCGTAATAGTTCCCCCTAATTCTAGTATGTGGATAAATTATGTGCCATGGAGGTTCGTAAGGGGTCAATCTTTTTACTTGATTTCGAAACAGTTTTTGTTTAAATACATATTCATAGATTTGTCGATTACCTCTCTATATAAAACTTATCAGGGTAAAAAATACTGTTTGTTAGAATTTGCAATCGGTTTAGATAAATTTATTCCAGAAATTATTCAAAGAAAAAGAGTACTTTTTGATGTATTCATTCATGGATGCTTTTCATTCAGAACATATTTTGTTGAGTTGTTTTTTTCAATTCGGCATCACGATTGCACATTATTCTGTTTAGTTGTACATAACTAAAATGTAAGGATACTTTGTTCTACTGTACTTATAAAAAATGAACAAATATAAAATTGAGACAACTCTTCTGATCCTCAACAAAGAAATATTCTTTTTTAAGCTCCAGCAGCAATGAGGAAAGAAAACGAGTACCTGAAACAGAAGTTCAAGTGTAAGGTTTGTTGTCAAAGGGAGAGATGTATGGTGTTTGCTCCCTGTGGTCACAGGATCACATGCCAGCGTTGTGGAGAGCAGGCTAATACTTGCCCACATTGTAAAAGTAGAATTGATCAACGATTTAAAACCTATCTCGGCTAAAGAGTGTGTCTTTCACTATTTCAGTAGATCTAGTCACTGGATACAACTTGGGTTTTGGACTGTGGACAGAGTACTAATATTGTGGTTAAACTTGTTTATTTTGTATATGTTTTATGAACTGATGTAATGATAATGATGTATTTATTTAAGCATTGAGCTGCTTTCAGTTGGCATGCATAGGCAATATGATTGCCAACTGGACAAAGACAAATTCAAGCGCTTCATGTTGGATTTGCCTTTGTCCAGTTGGAATTTAATTTTCCTATGAATGCCAACTGAAAGAAGCTCAATGCTTGTATTTACCAATTTTGGAATCTGTTCATCTCATAGAAAACTCAATTACATTTACAATCGGTCCATGGCATTCATAGCATATATGAATGCCAACTGATTGGGTAGGGTTATATAGTGACAATGCCATACGATGGTAAATATGTAAGAATAATGATGTATGATACGCTTGCTCATGTTTATTTTAATTATGTCTTATTTTGCAAAATAGTGTATATTACATTATAACTTGACTTTCTATGACCTGGTGGCCACCCACACACCAGGGGTACTAAAGAATTGCTCTGGCCCGTGAAATGTGAGTGATACAGTATGACTGAAATGCCCATTCTCTGTTAAGCTGACAATCTATTGTAAAGTCCAGGGAAATGCTGCTGTCTGTGTGATAATGATTATGTGTTGTAGAAAGTCGAGAGAAGTCAGTCTGCGTGTTTTCAATTTTGTCATTATTTCAAACATTCTCCTGATTAAGATTCTAATAATCGCATATAGTGTTGAATTCGAAATGATGAATACTGGATTTTCTACAGTTATTACTGCAGCTTTCGATTTCAATGATTTTCTTTCTTCTTGCACGACGGGCGTAGGGGTAGTAACGTGCGTGCAACTTAAAATGACATTTTAAGACCCATGTGTATGAACTTATTGTTAAATCCAAAGAGATAGGTGCAGCGGAAAAAAACCCCTTCACATAGGTTGCAGATGAAACAGGGTATCAAATGGAAATGTATATATGTCCCTCTATAAAAAAATACTGTCGACTTTGTTCCAAGAGATATTCCTGACCCACTTTCAAGGTTACACGGTCAAATACACTGAAAACATGAACAACTTTTCTACTGCTCCATATGCTATTTTCTGCACCATGACGTGACGAAGTGCTGTCATTTTTATATTTAAAAATAATTATAACCAGACGTTCAGTTTGAAGATCCATGCAGCATATAATAGTGATATCAATGTATGCAAAAGCGTTTGACTGTTTCATTTTCATACTGTATCACCGACATTTACACCGGCAGGGCCGTTCATCCTCCTCAGTACCCTGAGCCTCAGTCATACCGCCATTTCCAACGGGTATTGACATTAAAAAGTGCAGTCCTTTGGTATATGTATCTGGACAATGCTACATGATTTTTTTCAGCTGAATAATGATTGTTTGCATAGTATGCATCAGAGAATGTGAATGTCGTTTATTGTAACTATATATACTTACAAACTTGAAATGAAGCAAAGGGCATTGTATTCAGTATCCTGTAATTATCATTACCATTATTGCTTGTAAAGCTGTTGTTTTCAAACATACTTTTTATGGTAGGAGGTTAGAATCACATGTAACTTTCTCACCACAGTTATAATCAAACTACAGTATTCTGCATAAGATCATTCGGTTTTTAAATAATATATTTATTTTTATTGAATTATCATTCGTTGCTGAATGGCAACAAAAGGACTATAGTTTAAATATAAAAGTGGTACACTATATGACAATCTGTATGGGAATACTGGTGATTATTGTTTTAATTTCATATAATTTACTCATTTATCATTGCCTGGCTGTTAATCATTCGTAACTTCTTTCTGGCATTCGTCAATGGAGGAGTAAGAGATCATTGCCTGGCTTTTCATCATTCGTAACCTCTTTCTGGCATTCGTCAATGGAGGAGTAAGAGATCATTGCCTGGCTTTTCATCATTCGTAACTTCTTTCTGGCATTCGTCAATGGAGGAGTAAGAGATCATTGCCTGACTTTTCATCATTCGTAACTTCTTTCTGGCATTCGTCAATGGAGGAGTAAGAGTTCATTGCCTGACTTCTCATCATTCGTAACTTCTTTCTGGCAATCTTCAATGAAGAGTAAGAGATGAAGCGATTTGTATTTGATATAAGATAGCATATTATAAGTTTATAAGAGGGATATTCTTTTTGTTCAATCTCATAATAGTAAGAGAAATATGGATTTGCTGCTAACATGTTTTACTCTTCATTACCAATTTCATATTATCATATAGTTATATTATGTTATGACGGTCTGACATGCTTACTTCTTCGCCTGTTTTGTTTTGTATTTGAATTTAGTTGCCGCTTTGCAGTGTCCATTGTAATCAAATGATTGTAGATTTCATTTTGTCAATTTATGCCGAGGTAACTTTAAAATGAAAGTTTTTGCATACATCTCATGTTAATATTTTTGAAAAGAATGATAATTGTGTGATATTGTTTTATCATATATGCATTATATCCCATTCGCTTGAATTAAAAAGACTTTGGAAATTTTAGGAGTTTAATTATGTGCATATGTTTAGCCCTTGATTATTTTGCAAGCTAATATTTTAAAAAGGTTATAGAAATGATGTTGTAGTCTAATTCCTAGTAGTGCTAAAACGAGTCCACAATTTGTCTTTGCTTAAATATTTGGTTTTAGTTTTTAAATTGAAAATGAAAAAAAAAAAAACGAAAATTTTGAAATGTTAGCTTGTGAAATTAAAAAGCTTGCATGGCTGAAATAGCATGCTACTACCACTACTTTCACCTTACTCGTTTGACAAGCGTCAATATATTATGGAGCAGGTGGTGATGTCAAATTCTTTTGCATTTCTCTGAATGAAAACAAAACAATAAGTTTGATTTCATTACAACTCACCATCATAGTTTTGCAAAATATACTGAACTGAAGGATGAAATCGTTAGAATGATTAGGTGTTTGGTTAATACGTCTTTTTGTAGTTCGGTGGCAGGATTTTTTCTATGAGACCGGAGGCGTTCTTATTGGAACAAACTGTGACCCTCTTCTGGCCGACTTGCCCTTGCTTCCAATTGGGATAGAATTTGTTTGATAAGCTTACAAATTACAACCAAGGCTTTAGTCGTTCGTCCAGCGTTAACTTTTGCTTTTAAATAATTTATTTTCAATACCAAAGATGCCTAGGGTGGTGATATTTGGGTAGTAGCATGCTGAAATAAAGGGCTATCAAGTTTGTTCAAATGAATTACCTTCGCCCATATTCAAGGTTACACGGGTCAAATATGTGGAATTTTTTTAACAGCTTCTTCTAAATATCCGGAAGGCCAAGGGCAATGAGTTTTGGTCATTACCATGCAGGAATAAAGGGCTGTAACGTTTGTTTAAATGAATCACCTTGACTTATATGTAAGGTCACCGGTATAAAAAATGTTCAAAACTTCACAACTTCTTCTCAATAACCAGGAGGCCCTGGATAATGATTTTTGATCATTATTATGCAGGAATAAAGTGCTGCAATGTTTGTTCAAATGAATGACCATGATTAGTGTTCAAGGTAACAGGGGTCAAATATATCTAAAATATTTAAACTACTCCTTCTAAATAACCAGAAGGCTCAGAATGATGTAATTTGGCCAGTAACATGCTGTGTTGACGGGTAACAAAATGTGTTCAAATGAATGACCTCGACGTATATTCAAGGTCACCGGGATCAAACGTGTTCAAAACTTTTTAAACAAGTTCGTTTGAATAGCCAATAGGCCCATGATGTTGATATTTGGCCAGTGAAATGTGAGAGGAAGGGCTACCAAGTTTGTTCAAATGAATAACCTTGATATATATTTAGGGTCACATGGGGCAAATACGTTTAAAACATTGAAACAGTTTCTTCTCAATAATCAAAAGGCGAAGGCTGATGCTATTTGGCGAATAACATGCTCAGATAAGAAACTACGAGGATTGATTGTCACATGGCCAAATGTGTTGAAAAACTTCCAAACAACGTCTGAATAACCAAAAAGCATAGGGTGGTGATATTGCCACTAGCATGCTCAGATGGTGAGCTATCAGTTTGTTCATGCGGATGATCTTGAGGTATTTTAAAGTTCACATGGCCAAATGTGCAGCAACCTTAACATGACCTAATCTCAAGTTGCATGCTGAGATGGGCTATAAACTTTATTCAACTTATTGACTTTGTTAGACTTTCAAGGTCACAGGGGTCAAATGTGTTTTAAACGTTTAACATGTTCCTTTGAATAACTGACATTCATATATTTAAGTCCACTTTAAGGTTACAAGTGAGAGATCCATGCCAGCTGAGCGATGCAGGCCCATTGTACCTCTTGTCACATCCATACATACCGACGATTTGCGGTCTTTAAATAATACAAATGAAATAAAATTTGACTTTGTCGTATTCACTCTGCGTTTGAAATCAAGGACACTACAGACTCTTTTTACTCCAGTTGTCTTTCTGTATCTTGACTGATCAAAGGTGAAGGCTTACTGCTTAGCTGTATTATTTGCAGACCTATTTTGATTTTCGCGATCCTTATCTAATTCTTTGTTTATAGTACACCCTACATCGCACGCCTACAGTGTTCACATTCGCAGTGGATAAGGTATTGCTCAGAGTATAATGACTTACGTGATAGGTTCCGACAGCTGACAGACAAACACAAAACACAGGATCATTCTTGATAGATGAGGCTATAAAATTCAAAATTGGGATTCCTACCCCAACCCCAGGGGCCAGGGCGGGGCCCAAAATTAGCCAATATTTCAAAAATCCTCTTCTCCAGACTTAGAGGTACTAC